CAGTATATGCGGGCGCCAACTCAATACATCTGTTCACTGAGTTGTCATCCATGACCCAGGCCTCAATGAGCTCGAGTTCGGTCCTGCTCCCGGAGTGAGCAATTATCCTTGTTGCTGCGAAATTAAGGAAGGAAGCAGTTGGCAAGCTCTCTCATGAAATAAATTCTGCCGTTTTCGCTTGCTTCAAAAAGACAGCATAGTACAGTCTTCGCCAAAATGTTTGACCCGCAGAAGTTTTGAGAGGGCTAGGAGTTGAAAACTATCCCTTTGCCATAAGGTAAAGGAGCTCAAAGACCCGATGCGCGAACTAAAGAAGACGTCCCTCATTAGGCGTCTACACGTTGTTGCAGGGGATATAATTGCCTTGCAGAAACGAGTTTACAAACTACTGGCATAAGAGGGGATAAGACCAGCTGGCAATGGTCGACTATTTATAGATGGCGATTTATTTAAGCAGCCTGGTCTCACAGACGACTTAAGCGACGTCCTGATAGCGGACTAATATAAAGACTACAAAGCAAGGCAAACGAAATCTTTTAACTTTCAGCCACCCAAAGTAAAAGCCGCAGGGCTGAACCTTCTATATAAAAAGCGGTATTTTTGCCATTGGTTAAAAGGTATTCGAACGCATGGCAAAGCCGATTCAGGCCTAAGACGGCGAAATGGTCAGTAATGGCGCTTCTAAACATAATAACCCCGGTGAAACGGTTTTGGGTGTTCCATTCGTGTCTCAAAAACAAACTCACTGTCGTACACAATGGTGAAACTCCAGGTTAGCTTCAAATACGCAAGTATTACACACTCACCTATCAATAAACAGCACTCAAACAGTCTGTTGACTGATGTTTATTTAAAATATTTTACAACTCCTAAACACCTCCTTTCTTCGGTTTTTAAATTATTGAATAGACGCTTTTAAACATCGTATCTCTAAATATATGTTGAACTATTTTAAAATTGCAGCCTCCATTTGAAGGTTATTTGGTAGAAATCAGAATTTCCTGTTTAAATTCGGCAGGTCTGTTCTAGAAACATATTCTCTGCTTACATGCGGCGGACAGGATTCTCTTTAAAGTAGAATAAGCGCTCACTTGTACCTTTTTAAATGAAAGCGTTGCAGTTTCAAGTTGACAATTCTGTTTTTTTCCAAATGCATGCTATCGGCAATTTATTATTAGGGTGTACAATTGCACTTATACTGAAAATAATATAGCTTGACAGGCTTTATAAATAACCTATGATTAAGACTCATCACCTTTCAGACCTCCGGCATAGTCAGATCGGCATGAAAAGGTCATTGGACGGAGGGAGGAGTGAAAATAGCGTAGGTTGTGAGTAGATTTATGTCCCTGAAAAAGCGTAAACCGAGAATGGTCCTCTCATGTTTAGGATAAGTGAAGATGAACCCGCAGCTTGACATCCTTCGCATAAATATTTTGATTCGTAGCAAGAACACTTGGAAGGTGAAAGTATATTTTATAACCTCTGAAATGACTGTTTCCGTTGTGGTGAGAGCAGCCTTAGAAAAAAGGCAAATAACCCCACACCATACTATTTATTTCAAATTCATGCATATCAGCCGCGAGAGGGCATAAAGACATCTGAAAGAAATTATGTACTTTTACCGTGGCTCTTTAAGAAGAAAAAATATGCGGCAGATTTAATTAAACATTTCCAGTATTGGATTACCCATTGCAACTGCTGAAATAATCAGCCAGATTTGTCCATTCACAAGAAATAGAAGCAAATTTGACATTAGCGGGATAGTTATCCTCCAAAGAGGGGTATTTCTCTTATTGATATTAGTGGAGAGAGTTTCATCGATCGGTTATGGGACTATTTCATCCCTTTCTGCCTTGGGGCTCACTCTCTAGTCCAGGCAGCAACCACACAGCAGCTAGAATTATAGGCAGATAAGCATTGTCGACAAAGACTAGAAAATCTGGAAATTCTGGCTTACTACCAATGGCTATATTTACAATCCAAACCCACATGATGCCGAGCAATGGCTCAGTGGTTAGGGCTATGTACGTTTGAGCAAAAGATTGCGGGTTCAAGGCTCGGGTGTTAAACAACTTAGGGTTGTGTATTGTTGTAACGGAAGCCCAGGGTGAGATCTCATTGCCCAATATCCCCAAAAGGAAGAACACAAGAAGTGTGCAACGGCAGAAGTCTTTGAGTGTAGGAGGCACAACGTATTTAGGACAACAAATCGTGTAACGCGATGTCCATTGAGCCAATCAGCTCCTCTCCTGAAATAGTCACCGATATTACGGGCTAGTTACTCAACGGCTGACTGTAGTTTAAATTTCAAGTTATTGATGGATTGCCTGTAAGTATGCTTCGCCGCCTGTAGGCCGATTGATAGCCGGCCATGAGCGCGCCACACGCTTGCATGCTATCTGCCTGTTAGGCTGTTCGTTAGGTCGCCCTAACAGCTATGGCTATCTGATGACGGTTAATACGCCAGAACCGCCTTTTCCAGCCTTCCTTGTCTTTGTTTGCAACGCTAATTAATCATACAGGGTGTCCCAAAAATGTATACACATTTTACCTTGTTGTTAAATTGGTGTTTATCCTAATTGTATTATCAAATTAATGTAAAAATATTTACAGATATTATTTTATTGTTTTTTCTCACTAAATGTTCTCAAACTTACGCCAACTTTGGTCACGACACTGCTGACAACGCGAAGCAATGGAATCACACATACCATGAAACAATTCCCCTGGTATTCGGGTGCAGTCATGTTCAGTGGGTTCTCTCAATTCAATCACTGTTACGATAGTCAAGATGCAGTGAGAAAACAATAAAATGATACGTGTAAATGTTTTTATGTTTTTAAAGGAATAAAACTGCAATAAACACCAAGTTTACAATTACTTAAAATGTGTATACATTTGTTGGGACACCCTGTATTTTAAAGTTTTCTTCACTTTGCACTTACAAGTCCCTAAAAGCAGAAACTTCCACTAATCCTGGTGCACAGCCGTTAATAGGCATAACTATCCTCCAACTTTGAGACTTCACTTAAAGTCCCACAAAGCCCTAGGACAACGGGAGGGTTTTGAAGGTAATTTAAATGCAAACGCAAAGGGAGCTTTTCCAAAACTACGGTAGGTTGTTGAGATTTTATTTTAAAAATAATACAAGATTTTGGAAGTACATTACGGTAAACGCTTGATCAGCATCGGCTATTTAACGCCATATTAAAAAATATTAACATAACAGTAACGTGGCGGTATTACAATTTCCCCTCTATGAAACAATATTCTGGTTCGTTGTAGAAATCTGTAAACTAATGTGGGTCTTCCTTCCATCTATTTTCCATGTTAGGCCGCTTGTCAATGGATGGAAACCTGTCGAAATCTGCACGAAGATTGTCAGTGTGATTGTCCACTGGAACTCCTTAAGAAGTTTGGGCGACCTGAAACTTCCAATGCTTCACCTGCTGGCGCCGATGAGAGCTCGTTTTGCGCCCAAAAGTGTATGCAAGAACAGGGTTTGTTGCTGATGAACACCTCAGTCTGTCCGTTCGCCTGCTACAAGACAACCTACCAGAAGCACAACCAATTTGTCTTTGAGGACCAGACGCCCATGAATTCTGTGAAGTTGATGTTGATGCAAAGTGATGCCATCGAGACGCGAGTGGAGGAGGAGCTCTATGGACTAGCAAAGCTCTTCAGTGAGATTGGCGGACTTAGCTCCTTCTTCTTTGGTTTCAGCTGTCTCATCATCTTTGACCTTCTGGAGGCCTGTATGCGGTTATGGATATCCTGGTG